TTGAATGGTGCCCATTACGTACATCCTGTAAGGGGAAACAGTGTATGGTGCAATGAGACATGCTTCACAGAACCTTTTAGAATCTGCAAGGGAGGCGTGTAAACATTATACAGTCATGTGTGTTAAAACTCTGTTTAGTTGTTTTTTGTGATAGCTGGATCAAAATGCATTAAAAAGAATAAGTTATAAAACCCACTGAACAGGACCGGATCATATGAGCCTCTTGTAGGTAATAAAGTTGTCTTTTGTCCTCAGAAGTTCTGTACAGGTAACAGCAGATAGCTATAAAAGAGCTGAGGTATGGTGGCCTAGTGATGAGTTTTGCTACCAACCCAAAGACACATGGTTTGAATCCACCAGCCGCTCCATAGGAGAAAGATGGGTAATCTCTTGTGAAATTGACTGCCTCTAAAAACCCACTAAGTAGTCAGCTAGGAGTCAATTTCTACTCAACAACACATAAAAACAGCATGAAAGATCTAGAGAGACGGGTTTCTGGGGTGTGTGTGTGTGTGTGTGTGTGTGTGTGTGTGTGTATTCATCTTTGGTGTGCTAAGAATACTTTATTCTTCAGATCATGGGATTGAGAACAAAGTTGTTTAAACAGTCATGTGAGTGCTAACAGTATGGTCTGTGTGAAGGCTTTTGAGATGGGATACATTCAAGTTTTCCAAGAAACTTGTAAACTCTGAGTAGAGTTATTCAGGGAAGTCCTTTTACAAATCAAGAACTGATAGTCCTCTTTCCTTCTGATTTCTCTTATTCTTGATCTACTTTTCAGTTTTCTCATATGGAGAGGAACTGAGTGTTCCTTGGAATAGGTGGGTTCTGGGAAAAGGAACTCTCAAGAGAATGGTTCCAGATTTCTAGGTGAAATTCTTTACCACTGGATCTAGCTTGGCTCTTCACTAGAGCCAGATATCTTGAGGCGCTAACTCCCCAAGAGGGTGGCATTACAAGAGCATTAATGTCTTTGGAACAATATGTATGTCCAGAGTCATCTTTGTGTAAGCTGACTGCTTCTTAAGAAAAAGAGGGAAAGATGCACAATGTGGAAAAAGTAGTGGAGAGAAAGGCTTGGATTCTAGACCTCTCTTAACTACTCATAAAATTCTATGATTTGGGGCACATCTGTTAGTAAGGACCCCTACTGGCACAATGGTTAAAGATTTTGGGCAAATGCTTTGTATTTAACGTGTTTATAAACCAGCAATGATAGCCACTCTCCCAAGGGAGAAACCCAAACAAATTAATGGGTGATGTGAGCATCCTTTAAAAAGTATAAATTGCAAAGTAAGCATTGGAGCTGTATAAGCTACTAGTTTATATTCTGTTTTCTGTAAAAACAAACCAATTTGAGATACCATTGTTGTTAGGTGCTTCAAGGCAAGTAAGACTCGTAGCGACCCTATGAACAGCTAGTCTGAACACTGTCCTGTCCTGTTCAATCCTCTTAATCTCTGAAATCCTCAAGCCCATTGCTACAGTCACTGTGTCAGCCCACTTGCTGGAGGGTCTTCCTCTCTTTTGCTGCCCTTCAAGCATGATGTGTCCTTCTACAAGGACTAACATCTCCTAGCAATATGCCCAAAGTATGTGAGACCATTAGGCTTTGAAAAATTTATTTTTAACAGATTGAAAGGATTTTTGTGATTTAACTGAAAGTTTCCAGTGCAAAGTGGTTTTACGCTTAAATATTTTTACACATTTTGTTTTATGACTTTAGTTTCAGTATCCATAATATGACTACATTCTTTTCCCTTCCACCCTGTGATTTCCTCTCATTTCTATTAATCTTTCTATCCTACTCCTTCATGTCTCCTGAACTTCATTCTTGGGCATAGTCTCCTTTTTTTTATTTTGTGTGATCTAAGGAGTGAGTATCTTTCTAGCATTCTTGTTATTGTTCATCTTATGGACTTGTTTATTATTTGAGTGAATGTTGAAGGATAGGGATAGTTTTGTTCCACATACCATTAGGTTTTTGAAAAGAAAATTTTGTTGATAATAAACATTTAAAAGATATAAACCACAACTTCCTACCCTCTTTCTCTGGTGGCAAAACTTTTTCATTTATCTGCTTAGTTTTTTGTTACTTTGCTAGAAGATTTCCCTTTTCTAGGTCTTGCTGTTAGATATCACTGAGTCTGCTCATAACAGCCCAGGGTGGCAGAGTAGAACTGCCTCTGGGATTTTCTAGATTGTAATCTTTTCAGGAGCAGATTGCCAGTCTTCTCTTGCAGAGCTGTTGGGTGATTGCCAGCCTTTCATTTAGCAGCAGAGCGCTTAACCATTGTACCATCAGGGATCCTTTATAGGCCTTACTGTACTGGCTCTTAGCCAGAAGACTGAGAAGTGATATAGGCCTTACTAGCAATGAAAAAAGCTACAGAAAAGTGCAAATTTGAATTTAAATTATCGTTCTTGTTGGCTAAATTCGTGAGGTGAGTTAGATTTCATGTTAGAAGTTGCCTTTGGAATTAACCTTCAGTCTCCCTTTTTATTTTACATTGAAGATACTGAAACCAAGGTGAGCACATCTCCAGAGCCCTTGTCAAACCACAAAGTCCCAAACTCATTGCCATTGAGCATAGTGACCCTGTAGGAGTACAACTACCCCGTGGGATTTCCAAGGCTGTACATTTTTATAAAAGCTGATTGCAGCATCTCTCTTCTGGAGAGTGGCTGGTGGGTTTAATCCATTGATGTTTTGGGTGGCTTAACGATTCGGCCACTAGGGTTCTTCATCAAGTCACTGTAGGACACACCTTTTTTCCTTTTCTGAACACATTTTTTGACATCACCTTTCCCTCCTCCATTAAGCATGGCACATTGCTGTGGAACATGACTTCCTTTTACACCTCGTCTTTCTTGTCTCTAAGGAGTAGGTTAATGTAAAAGACAAAGGACTTTCAAGAAAATAAAAAAGAAAGGGAAAAAGCTGTATGACCTGAAGCTTGCCACATTGGTTTTTTTTTTTAGAAAAAGTAATGTCAATTTTTAGATAGTATATATTTGATTAGGTAATTACAAAATAACAAAAAGGGGAAATACAGTAAGTAGTCTTTTACTTTTGTCTCCCATCAAGTCTCCTCTCATTGTCAATAGTTTCTTACCGCATCTTCTAGAGTTTATATTCCCTCCCTTTTTTCTTTCTCACACAAAAGCTGGCACACTATAATATACTTTAACTTGCCTTCCCCCCTCAGTCACTTATCTCCCCTCCCATTTCATTTGTATTGGAAATCTTTTTGTGTCATGCACAGCCAGTTTCCTCATTGTTCTTAGTGTTTTCGCAGGTGACTAAACGGCCCATAACAACAACACTGTATTTTAGCTAGTGGTTGGGAATTTCACATAAGTAAAGTCCTAAATAATTTTTAAATATGAATGATCTTTTGAGCCAGTTCAGATATTTCATGAGAAATACGTCTTTTATTTCTCTAAAATTTGCCTGTCCATAGTACTTTACAGTTCATAAGTACTTTCATAAACATTCTTGAATTGGATACTCAGAACTTTTTTGGAGTAAGTATGCTTTGCTATGTAAATAGAAAAAAGGAAGTGTCTGTTTAGAATTTTGGTGAGGTGTGGTGCAAGATTCTTCAGCAAAATAAATCAACATCGTGCTTTTTTCATATGCTGTACTGGTAAGTGGAGGATTTGCTTGAGAAACACAGCCTGCTTTGTGTGGGGGCTGGTGAAAGTCTTCATTACTGCATTTAAGTATTCATTACTGTGTTTGTTATAAACCATTTGTGAATTTACTTCCTTAAAACCAGTAGAGCATGTGGGAGAGGATCTCCCCATAAATGAAGCTTTGAGAAACAAGTATAGAAAGAACATACGTAAATAGTCTTTTTGTAGATTATATAATTTTTCAATCTTAAAATAATTCTAAATGAAATATGCTTATTCAGAAAAAAATTTACTTGCTTAATGGAATAAAAAGACGTGTTCTTTAGGATTAATGTGGTTCCTTAGGTAGTGAAATGGTAAGAGCTGAAAAAAATACGGAACATTTTAATCTGAGATTAGATGTCTAAGAGTCTGAGTTAAGCAAAGTATAATGTCAAAACTGTTAACAGTATTAGCCAGTTTGATATGCTTAGAATTAATGAATGAAATGCAAAGGACTTAAAGTTTTATTTTTTTAACTTTCATTTAATGTAGAACAGGATTACTAGTAGTGAGCTAATCCAAACTTTAAAACTACCTCAGAATTAAAGCGTGCACTTAAGTATATTGTACATATACTTTTGCTTACATGCTGTGGAATGCAAATTTTCTAGAAAATATTTCTAACCACTTTGGTGACTTCTGAGATGTTTTTACATTTACGTTTTCTTCTTTTCTAAATCAATTCCTTTATTTCTCTTTTCCCTTCTCATACTGTGACACTGTTTCTATAAAGTAAAAGCATAGTCACAGAATTTTAGAGTAGACTGGGCTCTTAGCAATGACCTAATTTTATTTGGTGTATTTCTATACCAGTTTGGCCCTTTCTGAATTCAATAAATAAGAAACTGAAGCCCAACAGAGTTTATGACTTGCCCTGATCTTTCTTCTTTTCCGGAAGCCAGGATCCAGCTGCCCAAGACCAGGTTGTTTGTTTCTCTTACAGCTCTTAATTAGCTGACCCTGCTCCACTTGGGGAGTTTACTTTTGAACACATTCTCTTGCTCTTTTCACTTTGTCTTTCTATGTGAACTAATTAATAAAAAACAATAAGGAGCATTATATTCTCAGATCTTGCATGGAGCCTGGCTCATTGCAGGCTTAGATTAGAGACTTCTTTGAAGTGAACTAAAACTGGGGAGGGGATGAGAGCGAATTGAGGACAGCACATTGGGAGCTGGTGGTGATTAGTTCTTACCTTTTATTTGCTAGTTCATTCTTTCTTTCTCTTCCTGGGACAGGGAGCAATGGTTGTGGCCAGACTGTGAAGGTATTATGTGTTGTTTAGTGGGTGCCTCTAAACTACTCTCTTTCCTCTGTAGGTCCTTTCCCATAACCTGTGCACGGTGCTAAAGGTTCCACATGACCCTGTCGCCCTTGAAGAACATTTCAGGGATGATGATGAAGGGCCTGTCTCCAATCAGGGCTACATGCCATATTTAAACAAGTTCATCTTGGAAAAGGTAGGATACTGTTTCTTGCTTGCAGTGTTAAATGATTTTTCTCAGGGGCCACAGAGCCCCTTGTTGATTTGATAAAGTAGTTCCGTTAAAGACATCAAGATCCGTCAGAAAGTAAAGAAAGAATAAGAGACCAATTTTATTTCTTCTCCTCCATTTGCCTTAAAAAGTTGATTTGATGTTTTTCCTCCTTGGCTCACTTTTTGAAATTAAGAGCGGTGTTTTGTGTTAATTTGGATATAACCTTTCTTGAGTTGACCTCCCTTGGTTTCACATGTGCTGGCAACTTTGGTCAAAATGAGTATGATGGGGTAAAAAGTGATTGTTAATTATTTTTAGGATATTTTTCATACTTTTCCATCCTAGACTTTTCAGGGTTCTCCTTGGCTGGTTCCCTCTGGGGTATATTCTGAAAAAGGATACCATAAACACCTATCATAGGTTTCAGTTTCTCCCTTAGTTTGGGTAATTAGAAATTGACACATAAAAGTGTCCATTTTAATGTATAAAAAGAAAATAATGACCTAATGTTAATAGTTTGATGAAGAATTTTGTAGACCTTTTAAAAAATGTACATGCAAATTCACACATACATATGCCGTCACATACCATTCCTGCTACCTTTACACAATGCAGTGTTTCATTTCTATGTGGATAGGATCATACTATACATACAGTCAATTCTGAATGTGCAGGTTCTGCATCCTTGCACTCAGCCAGCTTTGATGTGATATAATAGGTAGGGAGCAGTTTAAATGGTCAGAGCAGTCTCTTAAAGGCTAAGACTGAAACTCAAAATCATGAGTTGAGTGGGAACTGCTCATATCAGACCCTCCAGCAGATTTTCAGAGGCTGTAAATCACACGAGAGATGATTGTCCATCTTTCTCCTGTGGAACCACTGGTAGATTTGAACCTCCAGAGAGGTGCTGCTTTTGGGTTAGCAGTGCAACTCCCTACAGACTGCACACCAGAGGCTTAGAGGGAATGTGAAGTGCTTTTAACACTTTTAAGTCTTATATGTATTCTAGAGATTATTTAAAGTATATGGGGGATGTGCATAGATTATATGCAAATTCTGTGCTGCTTTTATATAAAAGGTTTGGGCATTAACAGTATCTGTGGGTCCTGGAACAATCTACCTTGTTTACTGAGGGCTCATTGTATAATTCTGCAATTTACTATGGTTGTTTATTTTTTAAAGCTGAACAATCTATTTTTTAAGTCCTTTCATAACATGGATACTTAATTTAGTGACTATGTGTTTAAATGAAAAGTTTGGTAAGGCTTTTACACTTTCACTTAGCATAATGCTATCCAGTCTCTCCCGTTATGTAGTGATTTTCAAAATCATTGCTCCTGTGTGCTGCATAGTATTTCATTGTAGGAATGTACCACAGTTTCTCACTCTGTTTGATTGTGGTGGTTGGACATTTGGACTGTTTCCATGTTTTCACAATGGTGAATAATGCTCCTATGAACATTGGTGTACAAATCTCTATTTGTGCCTCAGTTCTAATTTTCTCAGGGTATATTTACCAAGCAGTGAAATCGCTGGGTCATTTGTTCAACTTTTTTGAGGAAATGCCAAACTGCCTTCCAGAGTGGTTTTACATTTACCATTTTTTTAAAAAAATAAAAATTTTATTTTATACTAGTTTGCTTACAAAGTTCATATACATTGTTTTTCACACTGAATCCTATTTTAATAGAAAACATGAAATTTTTAGATTTTTGCCCTTCAAAAACTGACAGTCCTAATACATCAAATAAAAAAGAATATGCATTATAAACTCTGTATTTTAATTATGTAAATACCACACTATTTGCATATTTTTCTGGCTTCTGATTTTTTATTGCTATTTATATGCATAGGTGTTTGTGGTGTTGTTTTTTTTTAAAAGCATCTATTTAGTTTTTTAATTCATTGTTGCACATTTTCTTTCTCTTCTCTCCTCCTCTTTTCCCGGACCACACCACAATCCAGATTGTTGCCATACCTTTAATGTCTAATTATATATTACTTTTGGACACTTCTTTCCCTCATCTGTTCTAATGCAGTTCATTATCTATCTACTCTTTTCCCATTCTATCCCAAGCCTCCCATGTCTGTCCTATATTATAATAGCAGTATTATGCAGTATTTGGCCTTTTGTGACTGAGATATTTCACATATGGTCAGCATAATGTCCTTCAGGGTTCCCCATGCTGTGTAAGGTTTTAGGAGTTCATTGTTTTTCAGTGCTGTGTAATATTCCATTGTGTGACTGCACCATAGTTTTTCTATTTGTTTGTTCATGGCCTCTTGGGTTGCTTCCATCTCTTTGCTATTGCGAATAATGCAACAATAAACGTGGATGTGCATACTTCTGTTTGAGTTGTGGCTCTGATATCTTTAGGATGTATTCCCAAAAGTGGAATTTCTGGGTCAAATGGTATTTCTATTTCCACCTATTTGAGAAAGCACCAGACCACCCCATACCATTCTCACCAGCAATTAATAAAAGTTCCAATCTATCAATAACCTCACTAACATTTGCTATTTGGTGCCCTGTTGAATTTTGTTGTTGTTTCTGGGATGAGATGATATTTTATAGCTGTTTTGGAAAATAATATATAGATTTTAAAAAAATTATATTTTTCATTGTTACACATTTTCTTCCCCTCCTCTCTTTCTGTGTAGGTTTTAAAATAGCTTAGACTATTTTTAAAAATAATCAATATACATTGTATAATAAATAATTAAGGTAGTGGTTTGGATAAACAATAAAGAGGAAGGTGTTCAGTGAGCTGGATTGACACAGTGACTATAATCGTGGGTGTAAGCACAACACATATTTTGAGGATGGGGCAGGATTGGGCAGTTTGTGCTGTTGTACTTGGAGTCATTATGAGTCAGAGTGGACTCAGTAGCACCTACCAGCAGTTTGGAAAAGGTAAAAATGTTATTTAAAAATTCATAGAAGAGTGCACTGTATTTTTCAGAAATTTTACATCAAGGATTGTCAAACTTAATATGTATTGTTTAAATGGATAAGCCTGAATCACCTAGGGAATTGAATTCTGTTATTAGCCACCTTATACAATGACTCCATAGCCTTACTTCTCAAAGTGTATCGAGAGACCACCATTAATCTTAAAAAAGATAAGATCTCAAACTTCTACTCCAGACCTACAGAATCAGAATTTGCACTTAGAAGAATCTCAGGTGATGCATGAGTTTGAAAAATGCTAGTTTAGAGTATTTCTTTAGATTATTTATTTAAAGGTCATTTGCTAAATGACTAGTTTGCTTAAAAACTCAACACATTGCCAGTTAAGTTGAAACTAACTCACAGCTGACCTTCCAGTGGGTTTCTGAGGCTGTAAAACACATGGGAGAGAATGCCCATCTTTCTCCTGTGGATTCACTAGTGGATTTGAACTGCCAGAGAAAACCTGCTTTTGGGTTAACAGTGAAATTCTCTGTAGACTTCTCACCAGAGTTAAGAGAAATCTTCACATAAAAAATCCCTCAAACTTCTAAATTATGTAAAAATGGTTTAGTATTAATCTAGCAGAAGCTAATCTAACTTGACAAAGGGAAAAAATTATTATCAGCTTCAGCAGTCTCTAGCAATTTTCTATGAAGTGGAGGTCAGATATACTTCCGCCCATCAACCTGTTTACCAGTTTTCCTCCCACAATGCTCTTGGCTTCTCTTCTGGATTTAGTAACTTGTGATTGACTACACAGAACTCACAGACCATATTCAAGTCACAGTTACGGAAGTAATAGTTTACAATTAAGCATTTGGAGTGATTTAGGATGTTGCTCTTTGATCAGGACAGTCTCATACCATTTGTGCTTGTAGGCTTTATACCTTTGACTGGCTTCTGTTTGGCTTGGATGAGTGTTAAAAAACTCTGACTTCACAGGTAGTTGCCCACGGACATCCCACACCTTCAGGAAGCCTCTTGCTTGAAAGCTTTCCATTTTCTTCCTCTGCGGATTGGTACATACATTATAACCACCTTGCTCTATGAGTCAGAGAGCCTATCATAACATCTCATACCAGTCTTCTAGTTCTGCTGCCACCATTGATCTGCAACTCCTTTTGGCCATCTTTTGCTGTCCCTGATGCCACCTCTCAATTGCCCTGCCTCTTGAATATAGGAGGTTCTTGGTGCAGAGACTGCTTGGTCCAGAGAATGTGCTCTGCTCTTGACTCTTCTTTCTTGGTGGCTAATGTGGTACCCCTGTCTACCTTTGAGATAGCTAATTTTAAGCCTAGTTAGATGACAAAACTGACTAATACCTTGATAGGTTCAAAACACATTATTAGCATGATCGATTCTGTGAGTGGAGTGGTGGGAATGAATGTGTTTGAGACAGCGAGGTTGGCACAGGATAGAACGGCGTTTAGGGCTCTTGTACATAGGGTCGCTATGAGTCACAAATGACTCAGTGGCACATAACAATAGCAACAACAGTCCCACAAGAGGGAGCTCTGATGGTCTAGTGGGGAAAGAGTTGTGTTGCAAACTCAAAGGCAGATGATTTAAATACACCAGCTACTCTGTGGGACAAAAATGGACAGTGTAATTTATCGCCCCTGAGAACTTGCTGGAGGGTCAGCTGTGGTGTGACTATACAGTAATGAGTGAAAGCCCCTCAAAGGTGTTATGGACCTTATTTTCTTTATTAGGAAGATATCCAGTTCCCTTTGTGGGAAGCAAGTACCTCATTTGCACAATCTCAGAGTCATTTGGTGAGAGTTTCAAAAGTATGATGAGAATAACAGAGATCCATCATATTTACATTTGTCTACATACTAGGAAAGTCAAAGAGTACTAACAGGCTTATATAAAAGTAGTAGCTTCTGCCTTCATAGCCTAGTCTTTCTGCTCAGAGCAACCACACAACCACTTTAAACTCTTATTAGTTATTTCTTCTAGTATTTATTACCCTATTTTAAAAGAATATGCTTATTCTGCTATGTATGGATTGTCCAATTTAATATAT